TTGGAAACGAGCTGTTGCCAGCGCTCCTGGTTTGTTGCCTGAAAATGCCTCATTCCTGGAGCGTGTGGGCCGCATTCTTCCAGATCCAGTCCTCTGCCATTTAGGGTTTCCTCAGCCTTCACTGCCCTTCCAGGGCTCAGGAAAGATGCTTTGTTTGGGCCTCTGTGACTTCCGCTGCCTGGTGGTTTGCATAGCCCCTAGCTGTTGCTGCCAGCACTTCCTGGTTGTTCTGTGCCACCCTCCCAAGAGTCGGAACTGTAGAGTCAGAGGTGGAAGGGGTCCCAGGAAGTACTGGGTCTAATCCTCTTGTTTCATAGAAGGGTAAACTGAGGCTCAGAGAGGAACAGTGACTTTTTCAAAGTCCCTCGACACGTGAGTGGTAGAACGGTGACTTGAACCCAGTTCAAACTGGTGAGATCAGTGCTTCCAGCGGGAAGACCTGGCAGGCAGTCGAGGGATCCCAGCCCATCTTTCCTTGACTGGATAAGGGAAGCCCCGCCCAAAGGTGGGCGTGGGGAGGGGAGAGGAGGTGGCTGGAGCGGGGAGTCAGGCGTTTCTCATGTCTTCACATGTGTTTGCAGCCTCCTCCAAAACTTCCCAGTGGAGTATTCAGTCTGGAATTTCAAGATTTTGTGAATAAATGGTAAGCAGCTTCTTGTTCTCTGGAAGGGCAGAGTGGCCTTGTTAGGCTCCCCGCCCCGCCTCCCCGGAGCTCCAGCTTTGCTTCTGCTGGGCACACCATTGCCCTTTTCCCTCCCCTCAGTTGCCGCCTTCAACCCCTCTTCCAGAGCGCCAGGACTTATGTAACACTCCTGGTATTGTATGTACAGCAGTGTGATAAACTAGTGGCTGCTTTTGGCACGGGCTCCGCAGAGACTGGCATATTGCCTTTTGGCCATAGTCTGACTCAGCAGATACTCAACCTACTCAGGCATGACACGGTGCTGAGGCCAGGGAGATGGATAAGGCTCAGGCGCTCCTCACGGGGCCTGCAGCGGGGTAGACGGGCATACAGACTAATTATGACTAGGACTCATTCCAGGCAGTAGCACTCACATCCTCTCTCTTCCTTTAAGCCTAATCAAAAACCCTGCAGAGAGAGCAGATTTGAAGCAACTCATGGTAAGTCCATTTTTTTCGAATTCTTACAGTACCTGTGGTATTCACTGTTCTCCTTTCCTCTCAATCATCTGGCTGGCCGTCTGTCCATCCAGTACTTTCTGAGCCCCATTTCCTGCTCTGCCCTGACCTCTGCAGTCAGCTGGCCCTGGGGCCACAACATACCCAGTGCCAGTCTCCCCATCCTCACATCAGTTTAAAAGCTGGCATGACCCCCAGTCCGGGTGAGTGTGTGGAAGGATGGGTCCGAGGCAGCTGAGGGAAAAAAGGGCCACCCCAACCTCTTCGTGGGACCGGCCTTCTTCTGACAGGTTCCCCTCACACTCCCCCTGCCAGCACCCTCCCCGGGTCTCTCTCTGCTGGCCGCCTCCTGTTTGGTGGCTGGGGGGGGGGGGGGGGGTAGTATTGTAAATATCCTGCGCGTCTTATCGCCTGTACAGTGTAACGTGCACTTTCAAGTCCACCATTTCCTTCATTCCCTGTGACAACCCTGTGAAGGGTATACGGCAGTTATCACCCCCACCTCTGGCTCAGACGTGAGCCATTTCCCCAAGGCCGCCCAGCCAGCATGGCGGGCGGCGCCAGGCTGAGCTGGCTGAATGGCCTGCAGTGGCCCTGCTTTCCCGGCCGCCACTACTGCTCAAGGGCAGCCTCCAGGAGCTCCTTCCAAGTTCTGCACAAGCTCTGGCCCAAGATGCTAGATTTTTCCTTCTTGGTCGCGTTTTAATACCACTTCCTTTTCCTGTTTTCTCGCATCCAGGTTCATGGGTTTATCAAGAGATCTGATGCTGAAGAAGTGGATTTTGCAGGTTGGCTCTGCTCCACAATTGGCCTTAACCAGCCCAGCACACCAACCCACGCAGCTGGTGTCTAAGCAGTAACGAAGCAGCAGGGTCCCCTTGCCAGTGGCCTGCCATTTTGCTTTCAGGCCTCGCTCCCATGCCTGACTCCATTCAGACGTGCATTTCACCTGTGACAAAGGATGAAGAATGCAGCATGTGCCAAAATTCTACTTGTGTTATTTTTACTATTATTGTCGTTATTACTATTATTATTCCCCTAAGTGGATTGGCTGTGTGCTTGGGGCATTTGTGTGTACGTTGATGATTAAAACATGTGCAACGCTGAAATTACAAGGAAACTCTGGTGACTGTGGGTAGTCATTCTTCCTGAAAATTGCACAGCTGTTCCCTCACCATGACTGGCCGCCCACATGTATTTTCAGGGTTCTCTGACACTTCAGGGTACTTCATTCTTGCTGGGCGCACCCTTCACAGGCAGTGCATGTGAAGCATGCTTTGCTGCTATGACAATGAGCATCAGAAAATGTACGTCATGTTATTTTAGTAGTAGTATTTGCTTTTGATGTAGAATTTGGCATCTTCCATCAAAATCTCGCCAGAGCCTTTCACTGCCACGATAGCCAGGGCTTCACCAGTCTGTCTACAGGGATGATTTGCAGACTTCTGGTTGTACTTCTATATTTATTTTTAAATATACTGTGTGGCGTTATTTAGTGGTGTGTATCTCTTTAAGTTTGGATTAGTGTTTCTCAAACAGTCGAGTTATTTTGAATGTCACAAATGGATCAAGGCATTAAAATATGTCATATTAATCTCTCCTCGAATCCAAGTACTGAAGCTATTACAAATCAACAGTGTGTACAGTGCCTGAAAATCATACGAAAAGCCTGTTAACCATTTTAATCCAGATGTTTAACAAATCTAATCTCCTAATAAATATACTATCAAGTTAAAAAAAAAAAAAGGACAAAAGCCTTTTCTACTTCTGTGGGGACATTTTCAGTTTCTCTAGAACATAAGAAATCATACAATTTAGCAAAGTGTTGTAGCCGGGGAAAGGTAACAACAGGAAGGGGGCTGGAGGGCAGAAATACGACGCTAGGACAAGTGCTCTCGACAAATGGGGCTTCCTGTGAGTCCAGTCTCCAAATCACAAAATGACTGAAATTTTGTTCAACTCTTCTCAGTGAACACCCTCCTGTTGATCTTCCAACCACCTCCCTCCCTTTCACCTGTTTATAAAAGTGAACAGCAACAGCCTGGACGGGAACAAATCTGATTTTCCATACAAAGGCGGCCGGGGGCATACAGAGGCAGCTCAGAGGGGTGCCTTGCCAGGTGGGCTGGCAGCTGGAGCTGCTGTCCTAGGTCAGTCACGTGCTGTCTGGCTACACTGAGCAATGGTCTTCCCCTTTTCCCAGCTACACTTAACCACACCTTCCTGGACAGGAGGAATGTGCCTGGGATGGGCTTTGTCATGCTTGTGAGGTGGCAGTGAAGTCACAGAAAACAAAGCCATGTCCCAACTGGTCATGTGTACCCCCTCCTTCTTCGAAAAGGTGACTTCTGGAACTTTAGGTCCGTGTGAGGCGGCCTCATCAGTAACTCTCCCTTGGTTTTCTTCTTTGAAAGGGCAGGTTATAGAGAACCAAAGGCAAAGTATAAAATACCCACTACATTTTCAGGTTAAAAACAACTCGAGGAAATAATTACCTGAGGAGGCAGTTCTACTCTGGATCTACCAGAGCTTGGGATGGAGCTAGGATTTTAAAAACCAGTCTGTGTTGTACACATTGCTGCTGAAGCTAGTCGGTGATTTTTTTTCTCACTGAGGTTGACAGCTGTTGTAAGTCAACACGCTGACTTACATGTTTTCCACACAAAAACCCTCAGGCTGAGGTTTAAGACCCACACCTCCTCGCACCCTGTCTTTTGATAACAACAGAGAATGATACCTCTACTGACAATGTCTCACTAAAATGAGCAAACTGCATCCAGAGAAGAATGGGGTAAGCTGGTGTCTAACACCTGGATCCGAACACGTTCACATTTGGCGCTGTTTGAGGGTGTTTTAAATTCTCTATCAACACGCTAAGGTATTGCATTTGCAGCAATTTTTACCAAGAATGATCTTGTTCTCAATAATGATGTTCCCTGTGCCAGACCCCTTCCTGGGACACCAATTACAGGCGGATTTTGAAACACCCCGTTGTTGTTGGGTGCTGTCTAGTCCATTCGGACTTAGAGAAACCCCACGTGACAGAGCAGAACTGCCCCATAGGGTTTTCTGGCCGTAATCTTTATGGGAGCAGATCGCCAGGTTTTTCTCCTATGGAGCTGCTAGGTGGGTTCAAACTCCAGCCTTCCAGTTAGCAGACAAACACTTAACCATTTGCACCACCAGGGCTCCTTAAATATCTCATTAGCACCTCACAACAACCTTGGAAATTGCTAGATCAGATGTAACTATCCTCTTTGTACAGACAGGAAAGCAAGAGTTGTGGAGGTGAGAGGGCAAGTGACTAGTTAGTGGTAGAGCTAGAGTTCAAAGCCAGGTTTTCCAGCTCTTAAAAACTCAGGCTCATACTTTAAATTAGACCCCAAAGTGTGTACTTTGATACTTTTTATTCAAATACATTTCACATTGTGTTTTCCAAAAAACGTGTGTTTTCCAAGAAACATGCTCATCATACACTTCTGGTTATTTCCTGTAAGAGTAGCTCAAAATAACTTTAATGAAACTGCAATTAGAAAAGGAGTCCATATTCTCTTCTGGAACAGTTACATAAAAGTTCTGCTTGATGTCTTTTGTATTTTGTTTGGCTTTTCTGTCACTGGGCAGGGCAAACTAATTTCATAAATCTAAGTGTCTACTAATTTAATTGTACATTCAGTGGAAAAAGGGACAGTATGTGGAAATGAATCTCAACTTTAAATACTAAGTTCCAACAAATCTTATTCTGTAGCTGTCTTCTCTTTATTATAAAAATAAAATCTCCCAGCATAATGATTTCTTCTTCAATGGCACACTCTTAAGACCAGAAATGGGTTTTAAACCATCTGCTGTATGGTTTCACCAGAGGAACTAATAATCCTTTTCTGTTGGTGTCTGGAAACCAGCGAGCTATAATTTATTTCTAAGCACATTTCACCACACTGTGATGTCTCAAAGCTGGATGTGATGACAGCCACACAAAAAGCAGTCTACAGTGGGCACCTGGCCATCTTCCTCTCTCCTCGGCTGTGGCCTTGCTGTGCTCACAGAGCTCAGCAGCATGTTAACAGCCTTTAACTGGTTCTCTTAAAAGAGCCACTGTTGACTGGAAAAGCTAGCTTGTATTTAAACTCTGCCCTTTTTGCAAATGCCAGGTTTTTCCAATGGCATTTCAGAGGAAGTTTTGTCTGTTTTGAACACAAATACTGACTCTGACTAGATTACTGACACAGCACCACCCACATCACTCAATACTAAGACACTGCATCTGTGATTTTCTACAGTTCACCAATTTTTGTTAACACATCCTGAAGCTTGAGGTTATTCATGGAGCCATTTTTTCAACTGCACATCTTTCTATAGTTCCTGCTTCCCTTTCAGTCAGGCTATAGGGCCCATGCTAGACAGATTCCTTTAGAAAGTTCCCGAGCTTTAGATATTTACTTCGTATAACTAACCCTGGTTCTTTCCCCCTTCAGGAATCTGATTCTTCTTCCTCCTCTTCCTCCTCCTCCTCTTCCAGAGCATGGCTCCTTGTGCTCAACTCCAGTGCAGTTTGGTTGATTGAAGCTTCATTGTCTACGTGCACCAACGTCTGCTTCAGCCAAGGACATTATGGATTAGTAGGAAAGACACTGGCCTCAAAATAGCAAATTCTTAAAAAAAAGTTTTAAAATCAAATCTAATTTGCATCTCCAACCTTAATATTTATAACCCTTAAGAACTGGACCCAAGAGGTATGGTCACTTTGCTATTTCTCCACATCCCCTCTACCCTGCTGCCAAAATGGGGGGAGTATACATGCCCCAGATTTGATACAATGTTACCTGAGTTACAAACGTGGTTCTTGTAGAAAGTGCTAACATCTAACAATTGTACTGACTTATGTGTGCTGCTTTCAAATGGTTTTAAATGGCTTAACCAATAAACAACATCTGGAAGAATTACTCAAATATGTATTTAGAAGGAATATGATCTTACTGACTTACTTGAGGGCATTTGGTAATAGAGAGATACAATGAAGATCAGAACTCATTTTTTAGCATTCACTTTATAGTTGAAGCCACACTCTATTTTCTAACGCCAAGGTTACTCATCATTTACAAACCAGCAAGAGTTTTGACGTATCTCTGCAAAGCTCTCCATGCTCTCCCTGGTTCATCGGAGTAGCCAGAAAGGATGGATGACCAGGAGGGTGGAGGCAAGAGATTCTTAATTAATAAATAAAGTATTTATCACAGCGACCCTACAGGACAGAAGAGAACTGCCCCATACGGTTTCCGAGGAGCGGCTGGTGGATTTGAACTGCTGATCTTTTGGTTAGCAGCCATAGCTCTTAACCACTGCCATCACCAGGGTTTCCAAAATGTAACCTATTTATTAGGTGGGCTGGTCCATGCCTAAAAGAGTAATGTAGAACAGATGGCTTATTAAACTAGTAAATTAATTCATATCAGCATTTCCCAGAGGCCTACAGACCCACTGATTTACAACAATTTTTGACCACCCAGCAACATGAGAGCGGAGTGGATTTTGCACTCTCTTCCTAGACCCATATTTAAGCTTACATCTTGTGACTGTTCAGGTGCAGATTGAGAAGACAGCATCTCATCTCCTCCTCTAGAATTAATCATTGATTGAAGGGCCAACTCTTCAACCTAGAAAAGAAGAGTTGAAGGCACTTTCTTTACTCTTTCACTAGGCTTTTGAAGTGGGTAAAAATTACTGAGCAGGCTGTAAAAGGATGGCATCATGAGAGGAAGTGAAAACAGCTGTGCCATCTGTGCTGCTCTAGAGAGAAGGGTAGGGCTCTTAAGCTTTCCCTGCCTTTAAAGGAAATGGGTAAAGCCTCCAGCCCGTCCTCTGGGGTGCAGAGGTGTTCCTGCTGAGCCAAGGCGTCCAATCCAAGGCATTTCCTGGAAGACAGGGCATATGGAGGTCATCATCAATGCACGCATTGCATACTCGCACAGATACTGGGATGAGATATAAGGGCGTAAGTAAGCTGAGCCATTACAACCACTCTGAAACAAAACTCTTAATCCTTTGATACCTCAAGGTTGTACAGCACTTTTCAGTTTACAAAAGGCTTTCCTAATCCTCATATCACGTGGATTTAAAGATTCTGAATAAGGCTGCTGAGCAGGGACTATGATCACCTCACAGGGGCTGAAGGGGGCTGAATTACGCAGAAGCACAGTCCTACGAAGTGGCCTACAGAACACTGCTATCCTGACTCCTTGTAAAGGCCATGCAAGTCAGTAACAGCTCCAGGAAGAAAAGCGACTTGCATATGGGACAAGTCTCTTCTTTTGGAGCCTCGGTGTCTTCCTTAGCACAAAGTGTGTGCGTGCGTGCGTACGTGGCGGGGACAACCCGAGAGTCCCTTCTAGCTTTGCCAGCGTCAATACAAGCAGTAAATGCTGTAGGGGCTCAGAAGAAAGAGGTCAGTGGGAAGGGAAGGTCTAGGCGAGCCTCGGGGAAGTCGCACTTGCCCAGTGTGGTCTGTAGGCCACCTGGATCTATTGGGAGGTAGAGTGGACGTGCCGTTGCCAAACAAGTTGATTCCAGGGCCTCATCTTAGACTTGCAGAATCAAGAATCTGACGGGGTGGGGGCCAACAGTCTCCCAACAAGATCCCTAAGTGCTTCGGATACCCAAGTTTATCACCCACTAGGCTGTCACCTACACGGCCAGACGAGGGAGGGGACGGGCAGCAACATCCGAGCTCCACCCAGGGGCTTGGGTGGGAAATGCTGGTGGGCGCCGCAAAGGGCCGGCGTTCTCGTAAAGCCAGGCGGCCGGGGTTCAGGGAGCGGTGGGAGCTGGACTCTGAGGGTGTAGGAGAGATGGTCGCGCGGGAGGACTGCGGGGATGGGTGGGAGCCGCGGAATAACCTTGAGCCGGTTCAGCTGGTCGTGCAGTGCCGCCTTAAGCCGAAGCAGCGTCTCCTCTTCCTTGCGTAGCTCCTGAAGCCGGCTAAGCATCGTCCCGCCTCACGATCGTGGCCTTCTGCGCAACCCACTCGGCCGGGCGCTCGGTGATGACGCCATCCCTCCGCATTCCCGGAAACCAAGCAGCAGCGCGGGGCTGGCGGCCATGTTGAGGAAGAGAGGTGAGTGCGTTTCCGGTTCCGCTCTCACCCTCGGTGCTCAGCCTGGAGGTTCTCCGACTGATTTACAAAGGCTGAGCCTGCGTTTCGAGCTAAATACACTCATGAATAATGTTCAAGATTCTTAAACTACAGGACGTTGGAGGTGTAAAGAACCTGGAGATAAATCTTGGACTTCGGCAAATTCCTTGACCTGGTAGTCCATTTCCTCTCATTAGTAAAAAATGGTTAAGTATCAAGCTCCAAAAGGCGCAACGAACAGTACTTGTCTCGCGCTGTCAACATGGTGTTCAAACAAGTGGCCACGAACCCGCAGATATTTGAAGGTAGGGAGGGACCGAAATCACCAGCACCTAGTAGAGTCATGGCACATGAGCTGTGTTAAAGGAGGAGTTCTGCATGGAAGGATTCCTGTTAAAGCGTCCTGTATCTAAGGAGCATGAATATAAAGCATTGCTAACAAAATGCGATGGGAAAGGTTGTCTTTGGTAAGGATCTGAGTTGATCCTGCAAACGGGATAGGTCACCCTGGCAGTGGAATTTAATGAGATGGCCACTGGAAAGCTGTTTAACACTCTAGAAGCAAAGTGAGCCTGCTAGGACCAAAGCAGGGAAAGGGAGGTTAATTCTAGAGTGGTAAGATGTGCTGCGACATTAGTTTATAGGTTTTGGAAAATTATACTAAAGTTGTTCTCAGTGCCACACCTGGTCAGTGAATTCATCCCCTACTAAACCTGTAAAGAATTTACCAAAAAAAAAAAGCTTCTGGCATATTCTTTCACACCAAAGGCCAAAATTCTAAGTCAGAGGGTTGGACGTGGCAGCAGCAGTTCCCTCACCAAGTGCACATCACCTGTCATAACAAGGATCCTCAAAAGGGAGGCATCACTGTAGTACCCTCACATGTATTCTACAATTCTGCCCGCTTGTGGTTTAAATGTCAGATCTTTATGGAATTTTACCTGTTTTCCTCCTCTACCCAATAGCTTCTGTAGTCTCTTTTCAGAGGAAGTGTTTTAACCAACTATATTTTAAAACATTTAGGACAATCACCCCTTCCTGTACAACTGCATGAATTTAGTATAAACCCAAGGCTCCACTTGATGTTAAAATACAAAATGGGACAAAGCCCTGGAATTATGAGGAACTAAGCATGATTTAAAAAAAAAAATCTAAGATTCATACTACACACTCCAACACATATTTCTCACTGCCTCTTTGATCAAGGTCTTTATTCAAAATAAGCTGTCCAAAATGCTTTCACGTGTATGGAATAAACAAATCTAAGAGTTTATGCAGCAGGCTTCTTTTCTTCTGTGGTCGGTTTTTCTGCTGGCTTTTTCTTCTCAGGTGCTGGCTTCTTGGTAGCTGCAGCCTTCTTTCCCACCACAGGCTTCTTCGGTTTCTTCACACCAACAGCTTTCTTTCCTCCTTTCTTTCCTCCCATGGGCTTCTTTCCTGGAACCCCCTTCTCATCTGATTTGGCCGCTAGTGCTGCTGCTGCTTTATCCACCCTGAGTTTGTGCTGTAAAAAATTAGAAAGAAAATGTATGAATCAAATCTTCCTAAAAACTGGACATATCAATAATAAAACAAGTGGTCACCTACATTCCTGGCCTGTCGAAGAATGGTGTTCCGGCGCATGGTCTTTGCATATGGGTTGAGCTTCAACATGATTCTCAGGTTTTTCAGTGGGTTCTTCTTCAGGACTCTGCGATGGATCTTCTTGCTGTAAACAAGCCCGCAATGAATTAACATTTAACCGCACTGCTGGAAAAATATAGATTCCAAATCCTGCCAGTCATCCACATTTAAAAAAAAGAACTCAGTATAAGGTTGGGGCAAGGGTTATACTGTAAAGAGAACAATCTTACCGTGGTGCTCGGAGGGCTCTTTGGATCTCGGGGCTTTTCAAGATTCTGCTAAGGTCTGTATTCATCATCTTGTGCATGGGAAGGCTGAAGGAAAAGGGAAAAAGGTTCACAATGGATGCACAAATTCCTATTTCTCATGTAATCGACTAAAGAACATGAACCTCTTCCATTTAAAATCCATTGAAGTTGTGCTTCCTCTACACAATTTTGTATTTAGTAAACATGCAAACCGTATCTCAATGTAAATATCCACAGTGTCACCATCTGTGTTCAGAATATCAGCATGAAAAACACTCACTTGTAGTTGCTCTTGAGGGAGGCGGCTTTCCGCCAAGTGCCATACAGCTCATCTAACTTGCGAAAAGCACTTTCAGTCCAAATGCAGAAACGTCCCACATGCCCACCAGGAGCAAGTTTCAAAATGTTTAGTTTGCTTACATTAAGCAGAGTAATTCCTTTTGAAAGAAAACAAGAATTAGATTATTTCAACAGAAGAAACACCAATCATCCTTATGGCTTATGTGTTATAGATACTTGAGAACTATCCAATCAGCAGTTAAACCCTGATTAATCTTATTTCATTAACTACGATGGTGCTTCAACCATCAATGGTGCAGTCATACAGCCAAGAATCAGAATTTCCACAATTATCATGTGTTTCAGAAACACGGACCATTAAGTGGAATCTCATCACAAAAAAAAGCTGACCAATACTGTACAGTATGAATAAAACACACATATAAACAGTTTAAGAATTACCAGGGATGTTTCTGAAGGCCTTGATGATACCATTGTCCTCGTTATAGATAATGCACGGTCCCCTGCGCTGGATACGACGTCGATTTCTCATTTTGCCCTTGCCAGCTCTCATTCGCTGAGAGGCATAGACCTAACAGAGTGAGATATTTAGTATTTTGATTAAAATATACAACCTCTGTAGTGTATCTTCATAGCTAACAAACTCCATTTTACAAATGATGAAACTGAGATGCAAATTACTTGCCGAGGTTATACCTAAAGCCACAAACGGCAGTCAGGATATGAACTCAAGCAATTTGTCTTCAGAGTCTTTGCTCTCTTATCCCCTAATGCTTAGCTATACCGTCCTTCAGCCTACCTTTTTGATATCATTCCAGGCCTTAAGTTTCTTAAGAAGCAAAACAGCCTCCTTGGTCTTCTTGTAGCCTTCAACTTTATCTTCGACCACCAAAGGAAGCTCAGGAACCTCCTCAATACGATGACCTGGCAAAGCCAATTCAACACTGGTTACCCTGAACCTTGTGAAAAATTAAGAATCCATTTATACAGGGGCTATTTTATGTAACTTACAAAAAGCATGATGGTATACAATTTGCCAAGTCAGAATTTCCACAAATATCATGTGTTTCAGAAACACGGACCAATGAAGTAGAATCTCATCATACTGGCAGTTAAATAAAAACGGAGCAGGGAACCTAAAGTTTAAGTACAAAGTTTTCCAACAACAGACCAAACCACTGTATTTGAATAATTACTTCCTGTTAATGGTCTGTTATTAACCGATGACTGATTTGTTAAATTGAGACAATCATAAATAATGAGGGAGAGAAAGATCTAGTTACGTCTACAAAGAAAAACCTTAGGAACAAGTACCCACAGTGCCTAAAGCAGTGCCTGTCACTTATTAGGCACTCTGCGATGAGCAGAACTTACAGGCACGTGTAACAGGGACAAATACACTCAGGTGAAGGAAGTTTTGCCTCATTCCTATGAAACGTAGCATCACAAACCTTTAGACATGACCAGTGCTGGCAAGGCTGAGGCAGCCAGGGCAGAGCAGATGGCATAGCGCTTCTGAGTGGTGTTCACTCGACGGTGCCAACGGCGCCAGGTTTTGGTTGGTGCAAACATGCGGCCTCCACGACACATCTATTTTCCTAGTTAAGAATCACATTTCTCAAGATTTAGGAATTCAAGGTTATGTCTTGCTCAGTAAGAATTTTCGTCAACCTTCCGTACCAGCTTACTGACAGCAGGCAACTGTCGCTGAAAACAGAGTAAGACGCAAATTACGACATCATGGCAAGCAAAACTTTCTACCTTCAGAACTGCTACAGAAATAAACATCTGCCAGACCCCAAATCTGTCCAGAGCAGTATTTAGCAGGGATACAGTTAGTGTTTGGGGTATGACTATTTCCAAACTCTTATTAACGTGAATGCATCAGGTCCAGTCTGCAGAATTCCGCGTGGCAGGCGACTACGTCCAGGGAGTGAAACAAAAAAGGATACATTTCCAAAAGCACCTTGGCCAGAGCGGTGAGTCCCACCGCCTCGGACTCTGGGAATTCGAGCCACAGCTCTGCCAGTACCCCACGACTCAGCACTGGTCTGATGACCTAAAATTGGAAAAAAAATGCAAGTTTTAGCTACTCAATTACACCAACCTGTGACTATCATAAACGGTAGCAAACAGCATCAGAACACCCAGGAAAATCATGTGGTTCAGAAACACGGACCAATGAAGTGTAATCTCATCACTACTGTAGAGCAACCCTAAGATAACAGCCTGTGAGATCTAAATCCATACCTGCCAGTTCACTGACAGCATAGGGCTGCCTGTTGTTTTTTCGCAAGTTGGTGTGGACAAAGTTCACAATATCCGGTCGAATGGGAGCCGTGAACACAGCAGGCAAAGTAACATTTTTGCCAGATGATTCTCCCTTTTCGGAGTACACTGATATCAGTGGACGAGCACACGCCTTGGGGGAAAAGGAAAAAGATGAATCTGTATCGGCAAACAATGTCACCGTAGGCACACTCATCTCACATGCCGACGATACAATTAAGTGCTCAGCTGCAGACGAGTCTGGCAAGGCAGGCAACAAACACCATTAACAGCAAGGCTAACCTACCAACACACCCAGAACAGGTTTATTAACTTCAAAAAATTCACTCACACTTCAGGGGCACTTCTCTTAGTTAAGAATCACATTTCTCAAGTTTTAGGAATTAAAAAAAGGTTATGTCTTGCTCAGTAAGAATTTTCGTCAACCTTCTGTATCAGCTTACTGACAGCAGGCAACTGTCGCTGAGAACAGAGTAAGACGCAAATTACAACATCACTGCAAGCAAAACTTTCTAATGGAAGAACCGCCCCTATGCTCTTTAAGAATAAACTTGTGACATAAAGTAAACATCTTCCAGATTCCGAATCTGTCGAGAGCAGTATTTAACAGGAATACATTTAGTATTTTGGACGTAACTATTTCCAAACTCTATTAATATGAAGGCATCAGGTCCAATTTGCTAAATTCCACATGACAGCTTAATCTGATATCTTGCCACATGATTTTCAGAGAATCGTTCATCATACAACTTTCAAAGCAGACCTTATAAAGAACAATGCTCAATTAAAACCACATCTGTAATATTTGAAAATGCTGTTTAACATTGCCACCTGATCTCTCCCCCACCCCAAATTTGCCAGCAGATCTTGTCTACCAGGGCTTTACTCATCCAAACTTCCATCTCTGCCTCCACCCTTCCCTTCCAAACACATCTTCCAGAGCTTACTAATAAAAACACCAGTCATGTTAACTTCGTGCTCAACCTCCTCTAAAGGATTCCTACCCCCAGACTGGAAAGGTCCTTAGGCTGTTCTACAGGCCCTACAATCTGTTCTCTACCTCTCTGATCCCATCTCTTTACACTGTCTTCCAGATACTCTTGTCCCCACCCTCAGGACGATCACCCTCCTGCTTCAAAGGTAGCAAACCTTCACGCTAAGGATCCTCTTGACATGCTTTCCCTCCTTCAGGCCCACCTTCCCAAAGCTTCCTGACTACTGTTTACAATCGAACCACTGCCTCCCCTCTGATTCCCTATGTCCAGAGCACCTATTACTGCGTTTTTCCCAATTCAATTACAACCCAACCATCCTAAGGAAGATCGTTTTTGTCTATTTTGTTTACTGAGCTCCCCAGCACGCAAGACATACGAAGTGATTCTTAACCTGGGCAAAGACAACCAACTATTCCAAAATAAAACGGACAAGAAAAAAGAAAATACAAGTCTTTCTTTCCTAAAAATCCATGCCCTGATTTGGTCTTAAGCTCCAAGAGCTTTTAAATGTACTAATCTAATGGCATAAGTTTCCAACACAGCCCAAGTTTTCTACGCTCCAAGGAGAACTAGAATGCCAGCGGCTCCTCTACGTCTGAGAACCATCGGCTATCCTCCCGTGTTGCTTCCAGGCGTGCCCTGTGCCCACGTTGCTTCTAAGATGGCTGCCGTATCGCCGCACAGCTCACCTCCTTGCCAGAAGTAGACGCTTTTGGTCATCATCTTTCCCCTCCTCGCTTTCTCTCCTGCAGATTTTGTACCCTGAATACCTAGTCCTTCCCCTCTGAGCCCCAGGACCAGAGAGAAGCCCAGCCAAAAGGAAGTCCACTCACCATGGCAGGGAGAGAAGGCCACGCTCCTCTCAACCCGGCGGCTCCCACAGGAAAAGGAAGTGTTTAGCACTACCGCTCTATATGTAACCTTCATCTCGCCCTCCACCCTGCTCCGCCTCAGCACCAACCAGGAGACACAAAATACATCTCCAGCACGCTAAATAAATTTTAAACAGCGTGTCATTTTTTTATATGCGCAAAGTTATGGTACTATTGTCTTCTGAAGCCAACAATAGTGCTTAGAAAAGGGGGACTCCTTTTCGCGGAATAATCCATAAAGGGGCGTGGCCAAATCTCGCGGGGCTTGGTGCCTTTCCCCGCAACCACTGCATTAATTTTAATTTTTTTTTTTTTACAAGAATGGGTGATTATTGGAATTGGGAAAATCACTGCACGTACTAAAACAAAAATTCAACTTTGTGGGCAAACCGAACCTGTTGGGTGGGAAAAGTAGTCCCGGCGGGGCGGGGTCACGACCCGGGATGTTGGCGGCTTGGGCGCGCACTTCAGATTGTCGCTTTCGCACCCGGGCTCAGACTGGGCAGAGATGTGGTCGAAAATGAACCAAGCGGCTGAGGAGTTGTACGCTCGCCTCCTGCAGTGAGTCGTAGCCCCTACTGTTGGCCTGTGTTCGAGAACGGCACTTCTCCTGGGCACCCAGTCCTCTTCCCAAAGCTCTTGCCATAGGCTTGAAATTAGGGCTTTGCCAGTTCTCGCGGCGCGTATGTTATGGGCTCAGTCAGCTTTCCTGGGGTCTGGGAGATGGGAGGAGGCCGGCGTTAGGCTCCAGTCATGTCAGGAGCACTAATGTCAGGTTGATTCTGCAGGGGCTTGTTTGCCGTCTCGTTTAGGAGAAAATATCTATACGTTATCAAACGAGGTGGAAGGTGACAAGTTTTCTAAGAGGCAGTTTATTCATTCTGATGATGCTCACAACTTGTGATATGTAGAGGAACCCCCCAGGAGATGGAAAACTAGATCCTTCACCTGTTTAATCCTTGCTTACCCCTGAAAGTGAAACGTACGGTTATTGCCGATTCAAGAGAGTTACCAGATGAACTACAATTGTAATAACGCGATGGTGTGTGGGCTTTCAAAAGCACCTTTACTTCACTATGCTTCAAAACTTCATTTTATTTTTAGAGTGAAGCGCATAGTGCCAAAAGAATTCCATCAATTTCTACATCCTACCTAAAAATACTTTAATCCAGTGGTTCTCAAATATAAGGATGTATGAGAAGCAGCTGGAAGGCTTGTCAAAACAGATTGCTGGGCCCCATCTCCAAGGTTTCTGATTTAGTGGGTTGGAGCCCTAGCTCGGCTGCTAACCAAAAGATCCGCAGTTCCAGTCCACCAGCCGCTCCTTGGAAACCCTATGAGGCAGTTCTACTCTGTCCTGTAGGGTCGCTGTGAGTCGGAGTGGGCTCCACGGCAACGGGTTTGTTTTTCTTTTGGGGGGGCAAAGAATTTGCCTTTCAAACAAATTCGGGTGAAACTGATTGCTGCTGGTCCTGAGATCACACTTGGAGAACTGCTGATTTAACGCATTTCTAAATGCTAGACTTTGTCATTGTTTACCTTTATTGCTTTTTCTGTTTGCAAAAGTACTAATGCTTGTAAAATTGTTGAATATTGTAGAAATAGCACTAGTTTTTTGTTTTGTTTTGTATTTTAACTAACAGTGTCTTGGATATCTTTCAGTATGAGAGCCTATAAATATCTTTTTGTTCTTGTGGAGAATATACACAGCCACACATACCCTAGTTCAACCGTTTCTGCATGTACAATTCAGTGACATTGATTACGTTCTTCAGGTTGTGCAACCATTCTTACCCTACTTTTCTGAGTTGTTTCTCTTCCATTAACATAAGTCACTGCCCCCTAAGGTTCCTATCTAATCTTTCCAGTCGCTGTTGTCACTTTCATCCCGTATACATAGTTCTTAAAAGAGCATAATGCTCAAGGCAGACATTTTTAACTAGTTAAGCTAAATTACTGTTTGGTTTCAATAAGACTTCAGAGATGTCTTAGTCATCTAGTGCTGCTATAACAGAAACACCTCAAGTAGATGGCTTTAACAAAAAGGAGTTTATTCTTTCACAGTCCAGTAGGCTAGAAGTCTGAACTCAGGGCGCCGGCTCCAGGTAAGGCTTTCTTTCTCTGTCAGCTCTGGAGGAAGGTGCTTGTCATCAGTCTTCCCTTGGTCTGGGAGCATCTCAGCGCAGGAACCTCAGGTCCAAAGGATGCGCTGTGCTCCTGGCGCTTCTTTCTTGATGGTATGAGGTCCCCCGTCTCTGCTCGCTTCTCTCTTTTATATCTCAAAAGAAATTGGTTTAAGACACTAATGTTTTAGATCCTATCAATATAACTGCTGCTAATCCATCTTATTACATCATAGTGATAGGTTTTACAACACACAGGGAAATCACATTAGATAACAAAATGGTAGACAGTCATACAATTCTGAGAATCATGACTATAGCTAAGTTGACAGATATTTCTGGGGGACACAATTCAGTGCATGACAAGGGGGATATTTCTGGTTTAAGCTTTAAAGATTATCTCAGGACAATAGTTTCAGGGGTTCCTCCATCCCCCATGACTCCAGAAAGTCTGGAGTTGATAAGAATTTTAAATTCTGTTCTGCATTTCCCCCCTTGTGATCAGGATTCTTCTATAGAACCTTTGATCAAAACATTTAGTAATGGTAGCTGGGCACCATCCAGTTCTTCTGGTCCCATGGCAAAGGAGACAGTTGTCCATGGAGACAATTAGCCGCACATTCCATATCTTCCTCCTATTCCTGACTCTTTCCTTCTCTGTTGTTCCCAGCAAATAGACACCCAATTGTCCTGCCTTGGATGGCTGTTTACAAGCTTTTAAGACCCCAGGCACTGCGCAGCAAACTAGAAGAACAGAAGCACTAAACATATATCTCATTGTTTTTAATGTCTATATAATATTTCATTTTGTGGCTGTTTTAAGTTTATTTAACCAGTCCCCTGTTGGTGCTACTATATAACTTAATTTATGAAGACTTGTATTCCTCAATTATTACATGGTTATTAGTCTTCCTTCCCACTTGTAAGCACCAAAAGCCTCTGTCTTCTCTTGTTTCCTCCACAATGCCTGTGTATCCAGTTGCATATTGGAAATTTTTATATGGGACCTCAAACTCAGTATGTGCAGAGCTAATCCTTCCCCTGCTTTCCGCTTCACATTCTACTCCCAGATTCCCCCTCTGAGGTGTGAGCTCCAAATCGAAGACTCTCACTTCTTTCTCTTTCATGCCGCTCCCACCTCATCTAGTCAGTCACCAAGTCCATTTGTTCACCCTCCATCCCCACTGTTTTTGTTCAGGCCATTATCACTTCTCTGAAGCACTACAAGTTTATTCACAGCTAATTTCCTGGCTTCCAGGTTTATACCCTCCACATTTGTATCATCGAGATCTTTCCCATGTAAAATCTTGGCTTTCAGGATAAAGCTCAAGCTCTGTAGTTAAATCTCCTCTTTCCGCGTGCCACTATAACCACCTGTACTGATCTCTGCTGAAGCGCTCATCACCCTGCATTCTCACTGTTGGTTTACTTGTTAAACTCCAGTCAAGACTATAAACCAGGGGCTGTGCTTTTGCTTTATATCCCAGTGTCTAACGAGAGTACCTGGCCTATAATATACATGCTTGAGAAATGATTGTCAAATGACTGCGTGAATAACACCCCTGAGTTATATGTAAAAAGCAAACATCGTTCCTTTAAGAATAAGTCACAAGTTTGCCCAATATGGCAAAAGTGAGTCATTCACAGGCCTAGCTCTCCTGTCTTCTATTTCAGTAGGTCATTTATTAGATCAGAGAGAGAGAAATGGTATCCTGAAACAGTTCCATTGGGTTCCTTCAGGACTCTAGAGATTTGTTTGTCTTTGAAAGCATAGACCAGGCCGATGTGCGTTTTGGCATGTTAATGGTTTATGGTTTACGTGTTTTGGGATCACTGTTTAAAAACTGCCTTGAATTGAATAACTGCCAAATGATATTCTAGTTTGTGTTATGTTTTTAAAAAGGAATTGCTTGTGCAACATAATCTAATTGCTAATTTTTTAGGAACAGCTCATAAAAATAGAGGGAGGATAGATACCTCCATTTTAGCCTAGAAATGAAGGGCCTGGAACCTTTAAATACTTGTCTGTGGTTACCTATTGATTTAGTGGCAGATCAGATTCCAATCGTTTTTACTTCCCGAAAGTCATATGATAAATTACATTAAAAAAAAAAAAAAAGAATGTTTTAGGTGAAAGTTTACACAGCAAATTAAGTTCCCCTTTAACAATTGTTGTACAAATTGTTCTATGACATTTGTTACATTTTTCACAATGTATCAGCATTCTCATTATTTTCATTCTGTTCTGTTTCCATTGATCTAAATTCCCTTCCCCTCCTTGCCTTCCTCTTTGCTTTTGGATAAATGCTGACCCTTTGGTCTCATATAGTTGATTGTTTAAGGGAGCACGTTACTCACAGGTGATGTTTGTTTATTTAATAAGCCAATCTATTATTTGGCTGAAAAGTGACCTCCAGGAAAGGCTTCAGTTCCAAGTTCAAAGGTTATCTTAGAGTGATAGTCTCGGAGGTTCCTCTAGTCTCTATTGGTCCAGTAAGTCTGGCCTTTTTTAGGAATTTGAATTTTGTTCTGCATTTTTCTCCCATTCTACCGGAGACCCTCTAGTATGTCCGTGGTCAGAATGGTCGGTAGTAGCTGGGCACCATCTAGTTCTCTGGTCTCAGGTAAATTACATTTTATTATTAATTGGTGAGGTGTTTGAAAAGAAACAAGGGCAGAAGCAGGCGACCTATATAATTTCTTGATGCCTCTGAGAAGCAGTTGTACCCAACTGTGGGCAGCGGCTTATTAATCTCTACTGTAAATGTCTCTTTCTCTATCTTTTAATTTCCTATGTATTCTCCTAATACTCATTCTGTTTTTTTCCCTCTTTCTGGCTATGCCTTAGGGTTGCCATTAGTACCAGAATTTTTTTTTTTTTTTTTTGCTCTTCCCTCTGGTGTAACCAG